ACACACACACACACACACACACACACACACACACACACACACACACCCGGGCTGGCCCTCAATTAGCCTGTCTTCTTGAGGATGGGAAGAGTGTGCAAAGTTGTATAGCACTGTGCACGCTCACTAGCCAGGCCCTTTCTGCGGGTCACTTCGCCAGTCTTTGGAGGCAGACTTGCGCAGAGGTGACCCCAATGGGCGGGTGGCCGTGAAGAGCCATCCGTCAGAGCGATGGTGAGGACTCCTCCCTCGTAGGCTGAGAAGAGAGTTCCCTTTCAGGGGGAAAAATAAACACGCTGGGGCTTTCACTGGGGCTCAGCCTCCAGGAAGGATTATGGTATTGAAGGCAGGAAACTGGGATTGTGGCCGCCAGCAGCATGCTGGGCCTGTGTTCCCAACACCGAGCCTTGGGACCTAATTATCCTGCCTAGGAGGTCGCTCAGCACTTTTGTCCACTCCGGTGAGGAGCTGTGCAGACCCGCTGCCCTGCCTCCCTTCTCACCTTACAGAGGTTTGAGGAGTGGGCTGCTGTGGGGCTGGGGCCTGCGAAGAACCAACGTTCAAGTTGAATCAGCCCGGGGCACTGGCCATCTTCCTCCTTCAGCTGGAGCAGAGGCACTCCTGGGTAGGGGCTGTGAAGAAGGCGGTTTGAGCACCCTGCTGCAAGAACTTCTAGGCTCTGAGATTGATTGTAAAGTTGCTAGAGAGGTGGAGAATTTCCCTGAATTCTGGAAGTTCTTAGTAAATCAATGAGAATGTTTGTTCACTGTCCTCTGACAGGTATGCAGAAATAGACAGGGAATTAACTTTTGGGACTCTTGACTTTAAGAAGAGTTGGGGAGAAAAAAAATCCTTCAAGGCCTCTAAAAAAATGCTGGAAACACACACACACACACACACACACACACACACACTTTTCTGACTTTTGTTGTTAACTATACCATTTTACCAGTGCTTAAAAAACAAACCCAGTTTCTTATTTCCCCCTTGGAAATGGTGCGTCCATCCTCTTTGCCTATACTCCTTTAAATTCTCAGTGAAGAGTTAAAGGAACAGCTTTTAGGACAGGGCTTCAGGGAGGTTCTGGCAGCCTTGAGATCCTGTGTCATAACTGAAAGCATCAAAAGCACAGGATTAGACTTTTTCTCTTTGGCCTTAAAATTCTCACCCATCCCCAGTCTCATAAATCGTGCTTCACAGACTCCAGCACCCAAGGTTTTGTGGAATCTTTCCCTGCACTGTCTAAAGTAGAGTCACCGAAGCTCGTGCATTCTGACTCAAGGCTTAGTCACTGAGGATACTGAACAAACTTAAAGTTATTTGTACTGTGGTAAGCTTTCTTGGGAAATTCTCCCTGCTTTGGATAGAGTAAGTTGAGTGCACCCTTGTAACTGACACTTTGGAAGTTTAGCCAATAGGTTGGCATATTGAAAGTCCCCCAGGCCAATCACATACCAGGACAACTTACACGTATCATCACCATTACTAATAAACTCTTGCATTATTCATCAAGGTTTGCGTCTGTTCTGGATCTTAACCCCCTTGACGCAGGGTGAAGACATTTAGTTAGTGTGCCTGTACACTGCCTTGTAGTCAGTGGAAGGGAATTCAGGCTTTGAGTCTCCCGTTTGGATCAAACTCACTCTTTGTAAGTGGCTGCTTGGCGAAAGACTGAAATACACGCCTGCATTTGAAAATGAATCCTGACAAGTGTAAACTGGTGGGAATTTTTTGTAGCCTTCCTGGGATTCTTTGATTCTGTTGGTCTCCTTTCTTCTCGAGAACTACACTGAAGGGGGTGGCGTATGCCACTCCGCTCCAGCCCAGCTCTGAGCAGACCCTCCTCCTGTCAGTCTCTTAAAGGCCAGCTGGAATAAGAAAAGTTAATGAGGCTGCTTGTGCCAGGCCCAGCGTTTTAAACTCTTTTTTTTTTTTTTTTTTTTTGCAGTTGCCCTTGAAAGGAAGGAAGGTCAGGTTGCTTCTGCAACCTGGTAGCTTTGATAGTGGATGGAAGGGCATACTGTGTATGTAGCTGCATGGCTGGGTCCTACAGCTATGCTTGATCTTGGTGTCTCCAAAAAGTAAGCTTTTAAAAAGATTAGCCTACTCCAGCTTGTGGACTGATCTGGAAACACTCGGGACGCTGAGGTGAGGATGGAGGCCTTGGTTGATAATGGAAAAGAATGTGTTTGCGCAAGGCTGAGAAACGGTTTTTATCCCATCTGGGTTTAAGCGAGTTGGCACGGGGGAATGACTGTACTAACCGGCTGAATCTCTTTCAGTGGCGGCGGCAGCAGCAGCAGCAGCAGCAGCAGCAGGAGCAGCCCCACAGCCACCGCCACAGCGCCCTGGCTCCTAAGCCCCCTGTGGGCTGAAGGCATTGCAGGCAGCCCATGGTCCTTGAGGAAGAGTGCAGATGGGATTACCGTCCACATGGAGATACGGAAGAGGACCAGGGATTGGCACCGTGACCATGGTCAGCTGGGGGCACTTCATCTGCCTGGTCTTGGTCACCATGGCAACCTTGTCCCTGGCCCGGCCCTCCTTCAGTTTAGTTGAGGATACAACATTAGAACCAGAAGGTAAGTTCTCGAATGTCATTTTTAGGGTACCAAGTTGTTTTGGGATATGTCTGGGGGAAGTGGTCACTGAAGGAAAGGTCTTTTTTCAGCCAGCTGCCATAGGAGGGTGAGCCCTCTCTATATCTTCCACAGCAGCACTTACAAGGGAGGGTCTTGGCTCCCAGGCATGAGTGGAGTGGATTAGTTTGCTCTGTTCTGTGTGCTGGGTGAGGGCAGCAGTGGCAGTTCTTTTTCAGCCAGTGCCTTGCAGCACTCTGGAGGGGTGCCTTAGCAAGATGATTGTCATCCGTTGCCTTCCTTCTGCAGTTGCTTTCTGGATGGAGGGAGGGCCTTGAATCACTGTTTTTTGGCTAAAGGAAATAGGTGGCCTCCAAAGGCTGATGGTTTCTAAGAAAGCTCTGAAGTTGAGCACCAATAGCCTTGCCATGGTGGATTGTTTTGAAGCTGTGGTAAGTTCTTTGTGCTTAAGCCCAGCATCACAGAGGGGCAGGTTTTACCCAAGGAAGACTCAAAAATGAATATTGCCAAGGGGGTCTCCCTCATCCAAGGAAACACCAGATTTCACTGGTATTTAGCTTTCGACACTTGGTTGCAAATGTGAAAAGCTGGTTGTGGGGAGGACATGCTGAAATACTGAGCTGGGCAAAGATCTGGTCCTTCTCCCAGGTCCTTCAGAGATGTGGTCGATAGCCAAGCCTCTCTGCTTGGTGCGGCATGGAAATCTGTCATCAGGAGGGAATATTGGTAGGCGAGTTATTTTCTGAGTGGTAATCCGAGCGTGACACTGCAGATCCCAGCTCTCATCGCCACTTAATGAACGTGTTTGCTGAGGACCCACCTGGTGCCGGCTGGGCTTTGGAGTCAGTCCGTCACGGTCCTGAGTGCTGGCAGGTCAGCCGAGCTGCTGTGGTTATGCACTCTGAATCAGGGTCCCGAGGAGCAAAGTATTCATCCAGAGGGGAAGGGTGGACAGAACGTCCAGGGATGTCCACAAGGAGGGCTAGGTACCAATCTAAGAGGAGGGCTAGAGAAATGGGTCCCCAATAAGCTCCACACAGACTATCACTGGCCTTGTGTGAATGAGATTGGGCTACACAGATGCCGGGAAATGTTATAAATTACCAGGTGAGACATTGTGGCACCTGCCCTGTCTTTGGAAAGGAAATATGTTAGGAGATTGTGTGTGAGGCTTGCTCAACATACAGACTCATACCCAGTTTTGGAACCACCTCTTTGTGACTTATACTGTGACATCAGGGAGAGTGAAATTTGCAACTGTGACCAGCTTTCAAAGGGCTTAATGTGAGGGGAAAGGATTGGGTTTCTGAAAGTCTGGTCTGCACTTCTTTAATTTTGCTAATAATTAAAATGGATGCTCCCCTAATTGCTGGTTTTCCCTGGAGTGTGTGGCTCAGCACAAACTAAGGAAGCTGAGCTGGGATTTCCTACAGTGTGGGCTTCAGAAAGAATTGTCATTTTTCATTTGGACTCTCGGGGCAGTGTTGCTATGAGTTGATTTCAGTGCAGAGTATAAAATGGTCTTGGAGGGTTTCCTGGACTGCATCTAATTACCTAAGGGAGGTTACAAGATGTGTGTACGTGCAGGGAGAAGACAGGTGGGGGAGAGGAAGGAAGGACAGTGGGATGGAGTCCCCCGAATGGCTCTTTGTGTAAGAACCGATACCCAACAATGTGAGCATTGTTGAAAGCAGATCCCACCACCTGGGAACCTGTAGGTGCATGTAGGTTTAGGGAGGAAGGAAGGCCATGAAGTCCCAGAAGTTGTAGGTCACACTTTGCCAATGCCCTTGGGTACAATTCGCTAGATTCAGAATTTGAATGAAGTTCGAATCGCATGCAGAGTTGGTTAGATGCTAAGAAAAAGAAAAAAAGAAAAGAAAAAAAAAAATGCTTTCACCAGAACAGGCTTGGAAGAAGAGAACTCTCAGGGTCTCAGTTTCCCCTTCTACTATTGAGGGTTCGATATGATGAGTTGGAGGAATCTCATTATCAATAGTCATTTAACAGTAACGTCCCCAGATGCCTTCTGGAGACCACCTCAGAGGTTTATGTTTCACCAGTGATCTGGACAGAAAGCGGAAAGCACAGCTTCTGGCATTGATGGTGGCTGTGACCATCACCATCCCCAACAAGCTGGGGACAAGGTAGTGCCAGTTCTCACAGCAGCAAGCAACTATGTGCGAGATGAAGATTGCTCTGGGAAGAGGCAGCTATGCTGGATCTCTGCATGGTTCATGCTCTCTCCTTGTCTGTTAGATCAGCATTGCACTGGTGTCCAGGTGATTAGAAGATAATTAAGATAGAGATGCCTCTCCTTGCTGGGCTCTGGTGTCTCCCCATCCTGAATGGAACATGTTCATGTGCATGTCCCTCCAGCCACCATATTTAGTGCCACTAGAACTTTAGCTAACACTAGGTTCGCCTTTTATCATCTGGAGCTTTACCATGGAAGACTTTGGTTTGCTAATCTGGAAGCTCAGTTTAGATAATGTCTATCGGGTCAGAGAAATATGTAATCAAGAGGTTCCTAGAAAGAGTCCGTGCTCCCCTACTACGGAACCCCTCTTTTCTGGCCCCTTAGGGAAATGTTATATTTAGTCATGTAGTTCTGTGTAGTATATTTAATCGTGCAGTGCTTGTCATCATCCCCCATCCTATCCTTCCTGTGTGTCTCTGGACACTTTCTCAAGTGGCAGCAGCAGGGTTGGGTCAAGTCAGTTGACCTAAGAAGAAAGTAATCTCTATAAGATTTTACTCAGTGTTTCAGAATAGAAATGAGTGTATCCAACTGGTCACTCATTGTGACAAAGGACAACAGTGTCAACAGTTGCCGAATGGGGAGGGATGGTCCTGATTCTAAGAACTGTTCTGTTTGTTCACATCCCAAATGTTCCCAATGTAGTCAAGCTTGATGACTGCCAGTCCTGAGTTCTTATTTTCAGATTCTCCCTGGCATTGTCACCTGCTCTGGTTAATTAAGTCATTGTTGACGTTAAGGGAATCTGTTTACCCCAGCCCCATAGGAGCTAAAATAAAAGGGCTTTTCCAACCCCAAACCCTTAATTACTTTGCCACCCTCTGCAAAGAGAAATTCTGCAAATCGACAGACAACCGGGGAAGGTGCAGGGGTGGGGGATGGGGGAGCGGGGAGTAATTTGCATGCCTTTAAAAGAAACCACTATTTTTTGGGGGCAGTTTTCTGGGTGTAGGAGAGAGGGCTATGCTGCCCTGGATTCAGGTGAGCAGAGACTGAGTGTGAGGTCTGCATGGAGACCTGCTGAAGTCAGACTTTTCCAGGGTAGTTTAAGTCCTTTGCCTACCTGCTGTGGCCTCAGCCCTCCACATTTAATTGCCAGTTGAGAAAAGAAAGAAAAATGAGATATCTGCATGGTGCAAGTGGATGATTTAAAATAAATCCTGTGTTTCCTATTATCTGCATTTTCGTTCCTCAGTATGAGTGTGAATATTTAAGAGTTGACTGTAACTTGATAGTTCGCTGAGGAACAAGGGCTTATTCTTGGTCAATTAAACCAAATTCAGGCACATGCTGTTAAACATACAATGGAGTACACATTCTTCATTAGTATATAACATATTTCACAATTCACAGACAAAGAACTGTGTTTAAGATTACTTCTAGAGCAAAAATCTGGCAAGCCCAGAAAATTGGCATTTATATAACTTTCTCTTGTTGGCTTCTACTGATCCAAACAGAGCAAGGTTCTGTGTGTGTGTGTGTGTGTGTGTGTGTGTGTGTGTGTGTGTGTGTGTGTGTCTGTCTGTCTGTGTTGCCTATTTATTTTAGTCAGTTAAAAGATTGATCATTTACTTAAAAAAAAAAAATCTCTCCCTTCCCAGCCAGCACCTTTCATTGTTGTTGTTTTTAAGATTTATTTGTTAATTATTTTGAATTGGGTACATGTATGTGTATTTCTGTGTGGGTAAGTGTGCCCACGGAGGCCAGAGGTTTCGGATGGCTTGGAGTTGGGCCTGGAAGTGAATATCAATCCTCTAGTAGGATGGCATATGCTCATAACCACTGAGCCATCTCTTCTGCTCCAAGATCTTTCAAAGTTGGTTTTGTTTGTTTGTTTTTTTCTGTTGACGGCGAGAATTCAAATAACCAAGTATTTCACTAGGAGATGTTTCCAATATCAGATTTAATGAATAATTACATGGTTATGAAATAACTGGGGTAGTGTTTAAACAGGAAGGGGATGTTTAATGTTCACATTCTCTGTGGAGTGCTTGCAGTAGCCCTGTGCATGCAGTAGCCTCCACACTTGCAGACTGTTTAGCTGTTTACACAGTCGCAATGGTTGTGAAAGGACAGCCAAGTCTCTTTCATCAGTGTCTGCCTTACTTTTCTATTTCTGATCAAATCCCTGGGAAGTTTGATCCAGTATGGTATCTTGGCTTGGTCTGAAGGTCAGGAATTATTTTGGGGAGGGGGTGCTGCAGGCTATTTTACAGATAATTATGGGTTTCCTGTTCAGAAATGTTCCTGTAGGGGCCGGGATGATGGCTCTGTGATTAAGAGTACTTCCTGCTTTTGCAGAGGACCTGTGTTGGGTCCCCAACACCCACGGGGGAGTGCTCATAATTGTCTTTATCTCCAGCTCCAGGGGCATCGGATGCCTGTGACATACTGCTGGCTGCATGTGCCCTTTTTACACATGTGTTTCTCTTGCCTTTGCTGTCATGATTGCCAAGACGGTGGTCCCATGAGTGGTGGCCAAAGATGTTTAGTCTCTTATTAATATTGGTGAGACCAGCAGTCGTGACCTTTAGCTCACTTGGGAGGCAGAGGCAGAGGCAATTTCCGAGGCAGAGGCAGAGGCAGAGGCAGAGGCAGTGGCAG